GCGAGACCAGCTGGCAAAGCTCCCGCTGACAGATGTCGACGCCAGGAGACGATTGATTCTATCATACCCAACTCGGACCAAGAGGCTCTGGTGTTTGAAATGCGGGGGGTACTGCAGTTTATCTCGCACCCATGTCCATTGCAGTGGGTTTCCATGCGTGCATGACTCCACTTTCGGCAGCCACGGCTCTCGAGAAGGAGAAGGCTACAATGTACTATGGATAGGATTGCGGCAGCGACTCGATCTCTTGGACTGGCTGACTCAAAAAGGGCGCCAAATACCATTGCGACTGAACCTGCTCTTTGGGCGAGCCCCCTCCCCCTCTCCTGCCCCTGGGCCCCGTGACCTTAGACTCCCCGTTCTCCCCCTTGCCCCTAGTGCTCCTCCCTCTGGTAATTTCGGTCGGCTGTTCAAAGATGTGGGCCCTGAGGGATGGGGCCCCAGGGTTAGGCCTCAGGATAGATTTACATGATTAAAGGCCCTTCGTTCTTAGACCGCATCCCTCAGGGCCACGTCTTTCAACCGCCGACCCGAGGAACCCACGGTGATCTTCGAGTGCGTTCCGCAGCAAGGCGATGACGAGTACCGGCGGGCTCTCGGGGGACACTACTCCCTCGAACGCGTGACTCTCAACGCCTGCGACCAAGGCTGGAGCACGCGCCGGCCTCGCCAGTTCGTGGTGGGTCTCCTCAAGGGCTTGAATGTGCCGCCTCCCCGGGGACCCCACATGTCCATGCAAGAGTTCATCGACCGCTGCTTCGCTCGAGGCTGCGGGTACTCACCTTCGTCGTACTGCGTGAGCTCAGAGGAGGAATTGGCAGAAGAGTACGAATGGGCGGTTTCGAGAACAGACGTGAAAGCGAGGCACCGAGCAGGCGACAAGTTCAACGACCCGCACGGCTCGTGGAAGTACGCTTTGACTTTGACCGAACGTGAGCGGCTCGAACAGTTCTCGAAGCAGCTGCCTGGCCGCAATTGGGATCTGGGGCAAACCATCAAGAAGCAAGTGAACAGCCCAGTCACGGGCCCCTTACATACCCTGCGCAGGGGGATGGGGATCACGTGGATGGCTGAGCTCGAGAGGTGGTTGACGCCACTCGAGACGTTTTTGTCGATGGGCTTCCCAGTGACCCCAGAAGCTGTTAGGATGTATCACGGTGTCGACTGCCAATTCACCAGGGGTTCTACCAACTCTTTTCCTTATCGCACGCGGAACTCTATGCTCTGCGAGCTAGGCAATGCAATGCACGTTAATTATATCGGGTCAGTTGTGTTCGCCATTGTGTATCGTTATCGATGGTTGCTGGTAGTGCACGTGCCTGAGCAGTCTGGTGACATCGCATTCCCGGCTGCCCCTTGCCCGCGCATCGACTCTGCACTGACCCCTGCTTTGGTTTCAGAGGAGGCCGAGGCAGCTGCCGAAGTCGCCAGGAAGCGCGCTCGGGCGATCAAGCGCCAGAGGTCCTTGTGAGTGAGCCCTCGGTCCCAAACGTGGACGAGGCCCGCCAGTGAGGAGGTGAGTGGATGGAGAAATGCCGATACGAATCGGAGGAGGGCGGCGGGTGGGAGAAGGAGAGCGGAGGAGGGCGGCGATAGGGAGGATAGGAGGATAGTGCTTCGCTTGGAGCTGGCTGGCGGGCAGTACAAGTCTGCTGGCTGCCCTGCGCTCGGCTTTCGGATCGCGCGTCCGAGTCTAGACAAGTCAGACAAGTCGGCTGGCCCCCCGCCTGGGCAACTGACAAGGAAAGTGCACCTCTATCCAGCCCTCCTTCAACGCGTTTCCATCAGTCGGCTGCACCGGCTGTGCATCCCTCCTCCTACCCTCCTCTCCTCCCCTCCTTTCTCCTGCAAGCTCCTCCTCTATCTCTCATCTCTCCTTACTTCTCCTCCGTCTCCTCTTCCATCTGTCATTGCTCCTCCTCCCCTCCTCTCCTTCTCCTTTTCTCCCTCTTCTTCCTCCTCCTCCTCCTTCCCGACATCTATCCCTTCCTCTCGTCCGTCTCCTGATCCTCGTCATCCTCGTCCTCCTTCGCCGCTGATGCGTGCTGCCCTTCTCGGCCCCTGCTCGTTGCTGGAGTCCCCCGCCCGCCAGGTCTCGGCCGCGACGCAGCTGCGGCGGCCTCGACGTCGTCGGACCCGATCGCCGCGCTGACCGCCAGCCTCAAGGCTGCGGGAGACGGGGGTGGAGGTGGAGGTGCTGAGGTGGAGGAGGCCACGCTTTTGGACTTCCAATGTCGAAGTGACACGCCCGACGTTTGAGCAAGCGCTGTCCTTCCTCGAGGCGGGTCGGTCTTCAAACGTCCGCTAGCGAACGTTTGATCGGTTGCTGACCCGCCTCTTGGGGGCTCCGCGCGAGCTCGAACGTCAAGGCGCAGACATTCCACATCGCACCCTTTACTTACTGCCGTGATCCCTTGGTCCAGCTCTTGCCCACTACCAGGTGGTTGGCCTCAAAAGGTTTCAGGTGGCAAGAGAGTTTCCCAACCTTGACCATGCTGTGGCGTTGGGTCTTCGTTTTTTTTTGGAAAAAAAAACAAAAAAAACGCGCTTCACCTCCTCCTCCCCCCGCTGCCCCCTCCCTCCTCTCCTCCCCCTCTTCCCTTCTCCCACTCCTGCTTCTGCTCGCCGCATTTCCACCATGTCGGCGCACCCCTCACGAGCCTCACGAGGATCGTGGCCCCATAGGGAGCTCCACCGAAGGCCCCAGCGGCAGGGATTGCATGCGTCCCCCCGCCCATGTCGGCACACCCCTCGCGAGGATCGTGGCCCCACGGGGAGCTCCACCGAAGGCCCCAGCGGCAAGGTTTGCATGTGCCCCCCCACCCATGTCGGCACACCCCTCCCGAGGATTGTGGCCCCATACGTAGCTCCACCGAAAGCCCTGGCGGCAGGGTTTGCATTGGTCCCCCCGCCCATTGTGGCACACCCCCCACGAGGATCGTGGCCCCATAGGGAGCTCAGAGCTCCAACGAAGGCCCCAGCGGCAGGGATTGCATGCGTCTCCCCACTCATTTGGGCACACTCTTCACGAGGATCGTGGCTCCATAGGGAGCTCCACCTCCACCAAAGGCCCCAGCAGCAGGGTTTGCATGCGCCCCCCCGCCCATTTCGGCACACCCTTTACGAGGATCGTGGCCCCATAGAGGGTTCCACCGAGAGCGGTACCACAACGCGGTACTCACAGCTGCATATGGTTGGTGTTTGCGGGCCGACATTAGGAATTTGCATTCCTTTCTTGCTTAAATGGCCTGTGTTGGCCTTCTGCGCAAGTAAAGCTTCTGCCCACTACCAGGTTGGCCCCCCCCTCCTCTCCCGATAGGCTGGGGCCACTGACCAGCTGGGGTCGCCCGGCGCCTTCGACGGCGGCTTCTCCAGCTACGAGAACCGCCACCCGGGCAAGGAGGGCGCCGTGCTGCGCGCGCAGGCGCCGCCATTGGGCGGCCCAGGGGTGGGCTCTGGTGCGAGCCAAGCAAAGGGGCCGGGAGCGAGGAGAGGCGGCCCCGCGCGGCTGCTCTGGATGATGCCAGACAGCACATGAGGTGTCGGTTGCGAGGCCCTGACGAGGACCCCAAGAGGCTCCAATCAATTTCAGTTGGCTCTGGAACGGGTCCGAGACGGACCCATGAAGGGCCAGCGCGCGTTCAAACGGACGCGGTCATCTGAATGTTGTTTTCGCGATTCTGAGCTGGCCCTGAGACCCCTGGGAGGCGCCAAGCTATTTCGCAGATGACCCTGGCCCTGAAACGCAGCAGAAGCCATCGAAAGCCACCCAGCCCAGAGGAGGCCCCCAAATGCCCAACCCAACCGCTGCCGATATCATGGTTATGGCCGTCTGAACATTTGAAGCCGTTTCGCCTTCTCAGTATGCGGGCTTGGAGGCTTGGATCAAGATACTCGGACTGAGGCTTGTTCACATTCGAGGAATCTTGATCCACCCAGTGCGGGCATGTGTCAAGATGCTCGGACTGAGTTCACATTCCAGGACACGGTACTGGACTGAGGCGTTTCCCGCATTCCAGGTTTCTTGATCCACCCACGTCGTGCCTGAGATATTCAGATTCAGGCGTTTCACATTCCAGTTCTCTGGAGCCCTCTTGGGCTAAGCCGACTTCTCATTCCAAGTGTGATGGTTCACGCGCTGCGGGCTTGGATCAAGATACTCGGACTGAAACGCATCCCAAAATTCCAGGTAGCGAAACATGTTCAGATGGCCGCCACCGTGACATCGGTCGGCTGAAAGCGCCAGAGCCACCCTCTGCAGTTCAATGCTGACTACGTCCTCCCGTGGCCAGGAACGACTCAGCCATTTTTTCACGAGGACGGGACCAGAGTGTTCGTGCGGCACAAGATCAACAACCGCCAGCAGAGGGCGACCAGGCGCTATTACAAAAAGCTCGGCCTGGCGAAGGGGGTGAACTGGGGGGACCGCGCAGGGGACATCATGGTCGTCCCAGACCAGCTGGACCCGCGGAAATGGCAGCTCCACGTGCTGGGGGGGGCGACGCTCATCGAAGCGTGCTATGATATGATCCAGCACGTGGAGGACACGAAGCAGCCCAACGAGCAGGTCCGACTGCTGATCGCGAACCAGGTTCCCCCTGCCAGCAAATTAAGAACCCCCCCCCGGGGCGGGCGGGCACGTCGGCCGTCGGGCGATGAGGGGAGAAGGAGGAGGTGGATGGAGGTCAAGGGTTAAATGAGCGCCGAGTCAGAGTCAGAGGAACGAGGAGAAAGATGAATATGGAGGGTGAGGGGGCCGAGAGGGGAGGTGGGGAAAGGGGGCTCCTCCTGGGGCCCATGGGGCCGCACATTACAACAACATGTTGGTTTCGACCTCCAGGGGTGGTGACCCCGACGTCCCTGATGGTCATCGTGTCCGTCCACCCCTCCTCGCCCTCATGGCCACCCATCCCCATCCCTCCTCGGGCTCCTCGGGGAGAGGGATGTGGATGTGGGGGGCAGTCCTGAAGGGGGGACAGGAAGCTTAACTTTTCTGCCAGGTGCCCCGCATCGTGCTGTTGAACCCCCAGATCCCAGTAGACGCGCAGATCTGGATCAAGGTCCAGTGCAACTCCATGGTCGCAGTGGGATCTTCCACGTCCTTCGTCGAGAGGCTTGAGATTACACCAGTGATTGCAGCGCACTGGGTGAAGTTCCTCAAGGATGAGCGAGATGCTGCTAAGAAACGGTCTGCCGATGACGCGCAGCTGGACGATGCAGATGCGGGCAGCTCCGGGAACAAGGGTGACGATGGCAACGGCAGCCGCTTCAAGGGCTTCGAGGCGAAGTACAACAGATTCGTCAAGGAGAACTACAGGGAGATGTTCGACGGGCTTGAGGATTTCAAGCGCGCAGCTTTATTCAAGAAGAGGTGCGACGCTTTGCAGATATGGGACAGGCTGGTGGACTGGTGGGGGGAGTTCGTGGTGTTCGAGGAGCGTCGCATGAATCCGAAGGCCATGTTCCTCGTGTTCGACAAGATCGGGGACGTGCTGGCCAAGGACAGCTACCACGGGGCCTTTGGCGATGCGATGTTCGAGGTTCTCAAGTACGCGGTGCCGACCGTCTTTGAGCCCCAGCCCAAGGATGACGATGACGATGGGGAGGCAGATGTCGCGCAAGAGATTGCTACTGACGTGGACTACGTGAACCACCCGGACCGCGACGTGCGCTGGATATTGCAGAAGACTTCTGATTGTAAGCGCCTGGTGCAGCTGACCACTCCGATGGCCGACTCTTCCATCTTCAAAGATGCGTTGTCCGCGAGCCCTGCCAAGCGTCTGCTGACGACGGTGGCGAACCCGAAGGCAAAAGGCAAGGCTAAGCCGAAGGGGTCTGCTAAGGCCGCCGTCACGCCAGATGCCGTGGCACATTGCACGCAAGCGGGATCAACAGTCCGCTCGACCATGTTCCTGGATGACGTGACGCGTGATGAACGCTGTTGTCCACCCAGTGCGGAAAATTGACCGTTCACATTGGAATACTGGTGAACTCCGCCGGATAGTGAGGTTCGGAGTTCGCTTGGGGATGAAGCTCCAGTCGGACAAGGGGAAGGTTGTGTTCCAGTTCGGCGACAGAGACTCTGAGGAGGAACACTTCGCACTGTGGAAGATGTTGCGCCCTCGCATCATGGATCACATTTACGACGTGCACAGCGAGCTCGTGGAGAAGCCCAAACCCGAGGGTGATGATAAAAACGACTGTGCAAAAGATGGTGTGGCGTTGACACATCAAGATGATGTTGATATGGCTTCATGTTTGGCCTCGCTCAACATGGCAATCGGCAGCGACGGCAAGAGTCGGACGAGGACTAAGAAGCTGGTCGCCGACTTCCTCACCGACAACCCTCCCTTGCAGAACCTGACGTACCTCGAGCAGACACACGTTGTCGTGACCAGGATCAGCTCGACTCTCTTGCGCTCGAAGGGCAGGGTGTACCCAGGAGACGATCTGCAGGCAACATGTCGAACTATTGTCTCGGATGCTTTCAAAGTTCTGGATATGCATACGCCGTCTTGCTTGTATCGGATTTCTGGTTACATTCTGACGTTGCTCGATCAGATAAGTGATGACAAGGACTGGGCGTCATCAAACATGGCGCCTCTAAGCTTAAACACCTTTCGAAAGTGTTGGGTCCTGGGGTGCTTTCGTTTCTGCCCCCCCTGGTCGGTTGTCTTGTGTTTTGGGGTCGGCCGTCGTGTTTGATTTCGCCCTCCGAGGACAAACATGCATGGGTCGATGAGAAGCGCAAAGTTGACAAGGAGAGTACCATGCTGACCATCCGGCTCCAGTCGGTCGACGCCTCCTTGGCCCAATGGGTGGCTGAGCTCTGGGCTGACCAATCCGACGTCGTGGCTACCCACCGCACGAGGTTCCTCTACATTCAGAAGGCATTGAAGCTGATTGCAGAGAACGCGCAGTTCGGCAGCGAGCCCATCAAGCAGCACATCATCAATGGGATCGGGTTCGGGGCCGCCGTGGAGGCCGACATTTTCGGGTACGATAGCGTAGAGAACGGGAACCCCTCCAGCGAGGCATTGTGGCTCAGGGTGTTCGAGATTGCCGAAATCTTGAAGGGCCGAGTGGTGAAGAAGCCCGTCGTTGCAATGTTGCGGACCGCGGTGGCGTTTTAATCCCAAGGGGGGGGAGCGGAGGAGGAGTATTAGAAGGAGGGGGAGGAGCCCGGGGAGGAGAAGATGATGATGCGGAGGAGGGAGAGGAGGGAGCAGGAATATGGAGGGGGACGACAAGGACGATTGGAGGTCGAGAGGCAGTGATTTCGCCACCGCCCAAAGGAGCCGCGAAGCGCAGGTCAAGTCCAAGATCGAGTGCATGAAGAAGGCCGACATCGTGAAGGCACTGCAGGTTGAGTTCCCTGGCGCAGTGCCCGAAGGTGTTGATACCTTGGTCAAGTCAATGGTTATGCAGTTATTGCTTCAGGAGCGGCTCCGACGGATGGATGCCCAAGAGCTTGCGGCGCTGCAAACATGGAAAAGCTTATTCTGCCTGGGTTTCGAGGAAGGCGCCGACGCGCTTCGGAGGAAAGCCTCTGCCGTGGCCCTGCCCCTGACCGCTCCAGATGCTGAGTCCAGCCCGCGCGGTGACAATGCCGACAATGCTGGCGCCGAGACGGCCGAGACGACGTCCGCGCAGCCTCAGAACACAGTGGTTGTGGCCTTGGAACAGTGCACTCAGGTAGAGATCAACGGCAAGGAATACTTCATCCTCTTCAAGGGTATGGGGGCTTGTGACATGTCGCGCCGCCTGTGGAAGTGCGACGAGGCGAGCCGCTACCTGACGCATGCCATCATGGAGGAGTGGCTGTTCGGTTGCGGGCCTGCCATTGCCAAACCAGTGGGCGGCTCCAACGGCGGTGACGATGCCGCCGCGGTGCCGCCGACGCCGAAGAAGCCCAAGACGAGGGTCGCAGGGAAGACCGAGCCTGCGGTGATTGCAGCGAGGGATGAGGACGCCGCGGTGGAGACCGCGGCCGAGAAGGTGGAGGTGGTCGTCGAGGACGAGAACGACGAGAACGATGAGAAGGAGCAGCACGCGAAGCCGATCTCTCTCCTCGATGTGGGCCTTGACTTCCTGGTGTGCCCGTCCTCCCAGATGTCAGCTGGTAGGCCCGGTGGCGGAGTGAAGCTCTACTTCGACAGGACGCGTGATGCATGCGGGTCCATGGAGGAGAAGCTCAAGCTTCATTTCGCAGGCAGGGTGGTGATATACCCTGGCGCCTTCGTTGGAGATGGAGCGCGCGTCGCAGCAGGCCGCGTGCACATTGAGCAGCAGGAGCTCAACATCTTCATCGTGCCGAACGTTAACTTCAAGGACCCCCGCAGCACCATCAGCGTCCCCGCCTGGAGCGTGCCAGTCGTGGCGGACAAGGCGCATGAGGAGGACACCATGACCATGAAGGTGGGCACGTACACGCAGGTGATCAAGGACGTGCCTGGGGTGGACGGCGGCGCCGTGATGCTGGACCGCAGCTTCTTGATGATCAGGCCGAGGGCGGAGCTCTTGGCGATTCAGCAGCGGAAGAGCGAGGAGGGGGTCCCGGCGGCGGCTGCGGGCACCGACGGGGAGTTCGCCCCGCTCGAGCTGGAGCCCCTGACCAGGCCAAAGTTCCCGTGGGAGTTCAAGGCCGTGGTCCAGGAGGACGAGAAGGCCCGCAAGGCGCTTGGCAAGGTGGGCCAACCAATGTCAAATGCAACGGGAGAAAGTATCGTGGAAGGACGAGGGGAGGGAGGGAGGGAGTGAGGAGAAGGATGAGGGTGAGAAGAAGGATGAGGGATGAGTGGAAAGAGGAGGAGGAGGAGGAGGAGGAGGAGGAGGAGGAGGTGGAGGAGGAGGGAGGGAGGGAGGGAGGAGACACCAGGATGGAGAGAGAAGGAAGAGGGGATGGAAGCCCTCCGTTCATCCTCATCCTCCTCCCCTCCATCCACTCTATGCCTCCAGCCCTCCGCCCATCCTCCTCCTTCATCCACTCGATGCCTCCGTCGTCCCTTCCCCTCCTCCTTCAGCCCTCCACCTCGCCACGCCCTTCCCCCATCCTCCCTGTTTCTATCCTGCATCTCTCCCCGCTCTTCGTTCCTGCCTCCAGCCTCCCTCCTTCCCTCCGCCTCCTGGGGGAACCGAAAAGCAGATGCCGATGCCGCAACTCCGCGGACCTTTCCAGTGGTGCGTTCTGATGAGATTTCGAAGCGAATCCAGCCGAAACCACGAGGGACAAGTAGCGGCATCGGTATCTGTTCCTCTTCTGATCGATGATCCTCAGAACGTGCGTTAGCACCGACGTGTGTTTGTCCACTGAGGCACTCCAACACGATGCGGGCGGTTAAATATCGGCGGAGCCGAACGGGGTAGACACACGTTTGGGCTAACACACGCCCTGAGGATAATCGATCTGGCCTCCGCACCTTCCCCCCCACCGCCCCATAGGCCATGAGGCACATCCTCGCGTGAGGGCTGCGAGGACGCCTCCTGGGGGCCTGCCTGGCGGCCTGCCTGGCGGCCTGCCTCTGGGCCCGGTGCCTGCGCGGGGATGCGCGGGCGCCTCGGGCAGGGACCGCCCGCTGGCGAGCCAGAACAACCCGTGGCCGAGCGTCGGCCCTCTCGATCCAGGAAAGGAGCAGCGCAAGAGGACAGGGGAGCAGAGGTGGATAGTAGGTGCGAGGGAAAACAGCGACGGATGATCAGGAGTACGACTAGGATGAGCAGGAGAAGGAGGATGAGGGCTAGGCTACGCATGCGTTGCATATCTAATGGCCTTCGGAACAACCCGCCACCGATCTTGGTTCGGGAATCTCATGGGGGCCTGAGTTGTTGTATTGGGCCCTGTTGAGCCTCCTGGAAGGCTCTTCGGGGCATGGGGACAAGGGTGAGGGCCCTTAGGCCCTTGGGCTCTTGGAGGTTTCTTGGGTCCTCGTGATGCATCTTGTTGTGCATCTGTGTTTCGAAATCCGAATCGGGAGCTCGCGGCACGTTGTCACTTGGCCTCTTTGGATTGCTGATGGGGTCAGTCGCAATTTGCCGCCGCGGTGAGCGCCCAGATGCTTAGAGGCGCCCGTGGGGGTCTCGAGCGCTGCCCCCCCACGGGCCTCGATTTTGCTCAAAACTGACGATAGCCCGATTCCCAGGGGTAGGGTTCGCATGTGGCCCCCTACCGTGGTCCCGCGCTCCACAGCAGGGCGTATGTCTCGCAGCAGGTGCCTCACGCACGGGCGCAGGCAGAAGTACTCGGCCCGTCTCCACCGTGCGCGAGCTGCGGGGAGGTGCGCTCGGGGTGGGGAGCGCGCCTTCTTCGGCCAGATCTGCCCCCCCTCCTCCTCCTCGTCCTCCTCCTCCTCCTCCTCCTCTTCCTCGCCCCGGAGCTCATAACCGTCAGAGCCAGCCCCAACCCAACTGGGAATCTGCAGGCCGACTCCCCCGGCGCATCCCCATCCAGGTCGGGATCGGAGCCGCGGAACCTGAGGGGGACGGCGCCACTTCCCACGGCAGGGGGGGGGGAGGTCGGCCGGCGGGGTCGAGGCTTCCCTGGTGGGGGTGGCGACGGCTGCTCTAGAGCAGCAGGAAGGCCCGAGAGGCCCCGTGCTCTGCGTGCCCCCGCCCCCGCAAAAGCCTTGGGCGCCCGAGCTATCCGGAGTAGCTCGGGCCCTGCAGCCCATGGGTAACTCGGGTTCGGATTCCCGGAAAACGAACCCGAGTTAGCCCTGACCCGAGTTACCCCTGATGATCTGGGGCTCTGGACGCCCGAGCTATCCGGGGTAGCTCGGGCCGGGGTAACTCGGGTTCGGATTCCCGGATAACCAACCCGAGTTAGCCCTGACCCGAGCTACCCCTGATGATTCGGGGCTCTGAAAGCCGCCGGCATCAGGCCTTTATGCTTGTTCCCACGTGCACACGGCACCATGCCGGCTCCCAGACAGCGAAGGCCGCAGTGAGGGAGGGGGGGGGAGGAAGGAGCAGCGAGGGCGCAACAGAAGGGAGAAGCCGAGGACGCCTCAAGCTGCCTACCGGCGCACCCTCTTGATCTCCTCCTTCTCCGCCTCGATGAGGCCCTTCTCGATCTTGTCGGCGCTCGACTTGGTAATGTTGGTGGCGTTGGCGAGCGCGGAAGCGAAGACCGCGTCGGCAGTCTTGATCCTCTGAGCCGTGATGTTGCGCGCTGCCTCCAGGACCTCTCGGGTGCGGCCCCGAAGCGGAGCGCCGGTGGGGGCGCGTGGCCTCGGGGAGCTCGGGGGACCGCTTGTGAGCCCAGTGCGACTGCTTTACGCCGCCTGCTGCGGAAACAAACAAAAACGCGAACACACAATTTCGGGCAACACCGCAAAGCGCAGTCCCAACAGGCAAGCGCCTCCTTGGGAGCCACCGCTCCTCATCCCGCACCCCGGCCCCCCATCCGCCCCCCCCCCCCTCGAGGCTGCCTCCATCACGCCCTTGGCGTCCCTGGTTAGGTTGAGCTTCTGCATCATCGACCCGCCAACCCCGCCCTTCCTCGAGGCCCACTCGAGGCTGGCCCTGGCTTCGTCCGCGAAGGACGAAAGGTCGCCCACGCGGCGGCTCAGCTTCTGCGACGCGTCGTCGAGCGGCTCAAGGGCGTGCCTCTTGGCCTCCTCCACCTGACGACCTTTCTGGCGCTCGAGGTGGCGCAGCTCCTGGAGGGCCGCGTCCGCCTTCGCGCTGGCCCTCGCGCGCTCCTCTGCAGGAACAAGGAGGGCATAAACATGAACTTTCGGAGGTGCCCGTTGATTTCCTGGATCAGCGCTGGACCCCCTCCCTAGCGCGTGGCGTGCGCCGGAGGCGACATCGGAGGTGTCGCCAGGGGGGCCCAGCGCATATCTAAGAAATCCGCGAAGCTCCGTCTATGAAATTATGGTCCCGTCATACTACGTGTGATTACTGTTCTCATCCTCCTTCATCATCATCATCATCATCATCATCATCATCATCATCATCATCATCATCATCATCATCATCATCATCATCATCATCATCATCACCGTCACCATACACGCCGCCATCATACCCCTTTTCCTCAACAACATCATCATCATCACCACCACCCTCATCATCACTATCACCATCACCATCACTATCACCATCACCATCACCATCACCATCATCATCATCATCATCATCATCATCATCGTCATCGTCATCGTCATCGTCATCATCCGATCATCATCATCATCATCATCATCATCATCATCACCATCACCATCATCATCATGATCATGATAATCAATGATAATCATCATCATTATTCTTATCATACTCATCATTATCATAATCATACTCACACCGTCACCACCATGAACGTCATATCACCACCATCAACACCCTCATAAGTATCATCATCACCATCATCCTCAACCATCATCCTCAGCATCATCACCAGCATCATCATCAGCAGCATCATCATCATTGTCATCGTCATCGTCATCAGCAAAACCATGATGGTCATCATCATCACCACCATCAGCATCACTATCACCGTC